TCATACTTTGAATGAGAATTTATAAGTCCTTGTCTTACCCGTTCGGCTAACGACCCTCCACCAGTCAAGCAAGCGGTGGGTGAGAATTACACCCATTAAGTCACCATTTTATAGGCAACAACCTTATACCCACCTTATAGACCGGCTTCGTGAATGAGGCGTACTAGCGGTAAGACGACTTGTTCTTATACATATATATATAATATTAAATCATCATAATATAAGTATAAGGGTTGAATTTTAACTTTTAAAATTCTAGGGGTTGGAACTAAAGTTTTAACTTAACTTTACTTGTTCCAAAACTTGAGGGCAAGTTTTGTAACTTTCAAAACTTTTCATTTCTTGTAACTTATGAGTTTAATAGAGTCATAAAATGAAGACTCTTCATTTTTATAACTCTTGTGTTTTCTTAATGGTTTTAACTCAAGTGTGACTCTTGGTTTTCCATAACTTAAGGATAAGTTATGGACTCCATTAAAACACATTATGATCAAGAATTAAACTACCAAATAGGTTACAAATAATTCCTATGATCATCTAAAACATCATAAGAACAAGAACATGAATATGAACATAATCAAAAATTACATAAAACTTTGTAATTTTGATAACTAGTTTGTTGTAAATGAATTAGCAAAACATTACACCACCAAAAACAAGTTTACATTTACTAAAACAGTTTAGGGTAATGTTTCTAATTCATTTTCCAGCAACTGAATCGAAATTCTGCACTCATTCGACCCTACTCGCCGAGTGCAAGAACATGACTCGCCGAGTTGGTTGAAGATACACATGGACTCGACGAGTCCCCCTATAGACTCGACGAGTCCGTTCGCAGACAGCAAATTTTCGATTCTGTTTTCAACTTTTAAGCACAAATAAGAACAAACAACCTGGCTCTGATACCACTGATGGGTTTTGAGCATTCTAACACTTCCTAAGTGTACATGCAACCCTAATAACCTTGGATCTATGTTTGTCTAATTTGTCATGCAAAGTTGAATTCCAAGGTTATATTCCTATCTAGCATACATGGGGAACAATTTTAACATAAAGTATAGATAGAATACCTTACCTTGTTGTTGCTTGTGTTCCTTGAAACCTTGTGAGCCTAGCACCCCAAGTGTGATGCCTCAAATGCTTCACACAACACCAAATGCTCTTGGAAGAACTTATGAGAGAACACACACTCTTCAAAATCGGCCAAGCCCTCTATTACTTAGTGTGTAGCCGATTTGGGAGGAGATCATATTACTTATATAGTGTTGACACACCTAGGGTTAAACCCTAATGTGTCATGACTCTTCATTTCCATGACCCATGGGTTTGTAACTCCCATGGAGCATCCTATGGGTGGAACCCAACTTGATGATCCATGGAGCCTTTTAGCCCACTATACAAGATATGGATGATTTACTTAATCAACCCATATATTTAATTAGTTATCTTTTGATCACTTAATTAATTCTAAATTAATTCTTGATCAAACTAATCAAATAATATTATTAATATATTAGAACTTATAATATATTAATAATCTCCAAGCGTTATTTCTCTCATTTAGTCTATCCAATTGCATGGTGCCATGCAACCCAAATGGACCATGCCGGGTCGGGTCAAGTACATACCAGAAATAGTTATGGACTTAGACACCTTATCCAACACAAAGTCCATTTAATTCCTCTAAAAAAATCTCAACATCTGAACAAAACCATGCGATTAATTCATCACCCACACTTTGGAGTGATGGTTTACTATTGATCTTGCCCTACCAACAGTAGCAATCGATTTCAAGCCTGTCAACAATCAGCTGGCATCCATCCTGAGTGACATAAGCGCTCCGAAATTCTGACTTCGTAGTCCTAGTTGGGGACACCCAGCTTCCATGAGATATTTTCCTACAAATTTTTGATGCGAGGACCATGCTCACAATTCCTTAAACATGAACATGGACGCAATTCCCTTGAACTCACATTCTGATCAATCCCTTACTCCTCTCAACCATGAAAAGTCTCAACCATCTCAATTTCAATTACTCAAATGAACTCATGATGATAAAATTATTGATCTTCCAAGTGTACCCCTAGTTTGCTTTCACCATTGGTCCACAACAAAATGTATGCTAATCTAGTTCTAGCTCAACAAGATGTGTCCCATTCGTAACTCTTGGCATGCAAAATGACATATAACGACCCTTGGTAATACTAACTAGACGATCACAAGGAACTATGATTCTTAGACGGGGACTAAACCAAAATGGCGTCTTAACCCACTCACACAAGCAGAAGCAATTAAAATGCATGAGAGAAAAAATTACATACCTGCGAGGTCTTGAAGTCTTGGACCCCCCCCCCCCTTTCTGAAAAATCACGGGTGATGGGGTCTGAGCCACCACAATCAACAATTGTGGGCAACTTGCTTTAAGGCGACTAGGTTGATGACAACAATGACATGATTCTACCTCCAGGGTGCATTCTTGGTGAATGTGGCCCTTCCACCCATACCCACTACATTTGGACTTTTCGCGCATACGCTCATGGGTTCCTTCACCCTTGGCATAAATGTTGTGGCCCGTCAGGCCTTTAGCACTCGGTATGGAACCATCAAACTGCTTAGATATTGCTAGGAGAGTTGGATCATGAGTCTGCTTCCTCTTTCCCCGTTATCTCTCCAAACCAAACCCCCACTCCTGAGTCACCTCGACCATTTCATCAGTTGCCTAAACGGTCGAGATTTGATCCTCGAACATAGTAGCTAATCTGTCAGTGATATAACCAATAATGTCAGGTAACTCCTCTTATAAATTTTGCGAAATATCAGTGGCAATACAGTTACGTAATCGATCCCCCTCAAGGCATGATAAGTAACCCACCTTCGATCCCTCAAGGCAAGAACTAACAATAGGACCCTCCTCGCCGAAAGATTCTAGGGCTCCACAAGCCTTGGGCACCCGATGATCCTCCAACTGTCCTGCTGCAATCTCAGCCCAAAAAGCCCCGAGAGGATCATCCAAGCGATCCATGATCCCTTCCTTGATGGTACCAAACATCACATGAGTTTGCTCCAAAATACAGCTGGTGATCTCCGATGAGATGAACTCCCGCATCCGCTCATCCATCGGCTAAATACTAGTACCTGATCCTGAACCAGATCCTCCTCCATGAGTGCTCATCACCATTCTGAAAAAGCAACAATGCAACAATCAGAACATACTAAGAGAATCCTCATACGTAAGCTTCCTAGATTCTCCGTGACTCTCCTCGATTCGAGTATGGATCATGTGCTTTCAGTAGTACGGGACCAATACTACATTCCACACATATCTATACTTTCCTCAATAATTATTTCAAATCGTCCAGGTCACTATTTCAAACTGGTACATTTATTACTTGGTAAACAACACATACAAACCCACTAAAACACTTCTTAGGCTCTCCTAGGTTCCTGACCTCACCCTGCCATCAGTTATTGAAGAACTCCCACTAATATCAACTAACTACTTCATAAATATAATCACATGCCACAAAGCATAGATAATCCTTCGAGTAACAAAATCAACTCTACAACGGTTAGACTCAAACGAGAGCTGAGCAATAGGGTCAAATCTATCACTCTAAGATTATTTAACCGTTGCAACATGTGACTTGGCATATATTCTTAATAGTTAACTCACATCACTAAGAGTTCCACAAAGCACAAAACAAACAACATTCGTGCAGTAACACTCCAAGCCATAGAATAAACAAAGAACATCCACCGCTCACTTACTATAACTCATGCTAAGAACTTTCACTCTCACTGCCGGTTGCCTTATGCATGCAAATTATACACAATACATGATCAAATAGACTGTCGAATGAAAGACTCTACCCTAAGACTATAACCAAACGAGGGATAATAAATAAGGCCAAATATGTGATTCTAAGGCTATGTGATCCTAACTGTATGCAATGTTTTCAAGCATACACTTAGCAATTACTAGTACCAATACATATTCCCAAACAAGCATAACATCCAATGTTTCCTAGGCTACCAGACATACATATTCGACCAATCTATCATGCAATTCTTGAAAGTATCCCAAAACTTATCATAACATGCAAATATTCATATCATATAATATATCAACATGTATGAGTGTTCTGAGAAACACTTACTTGAGCTCTACAATATTTTTTAGAAATTCGTTTTCTTTTAAAAGATTACAAACTCCTCAATTTGAGTTAGGCAAATTATTTTTATTTGTTTATTTATTTAAATTATTTTTTTAAATTTAAAAGAGAAATAAAAAAAAGACAAAAATAGCAAATTAAACATTACATATTTACATTTAAATAATACAATATTTTTTCCTTATAAATTCAAATTTCCTAAATTTTTAGATTTTCATATTTATTTTTTTAGAATAAACCCGTGTAATACATGAGTCTCACAACTAGTATATAAATACGTAAAATAGATATAAATACGTAAAAAATATGTGTATATATATATATATATATATATATATATATATATATATATATATATATACAAGTTTTGTTAAAATCTACAGAAAAATTATATTACTTTGGAAAAATTAACAATTTGATCTCATATCTTCTGAACAGGTAAAAAATGACTAAAGTAAAAAAATTAATCGGTTTTTTGAGCTTTTCCATTCAAAAAGTTAAAGATTTTTCTGTTAAAAAATAAAATCCAAGACTCTATTAATTTCTTTTTCAAAATATCAAAACTTTTTTTAACCTTTGTTTTATTAAAAAAAACATTTTTTGTTTGCCCTTTGCCTATCTTCGTTTCTTAACCATAAGATATTGTGATTCGGGTTTTAAGTCATACCTCTTCGACACTGTTACGAAACTTGGGAGGCCTAAATGTAAATATATAATCCCTAAGCTCCATTCCTACTAGTCTACTCTTCCGACTGACTGCTCCCCAAGACCTATTTCATTTCGATCTTCAATACTCCCTAGTATGATCACACCATCGATCGAAGCACCATGAAATCCGTTGTTGTTCTTCATCATCTCCTCTGTCTCCTTCTCCTATTTTCACATCTAAAATCCGTTTCTTCGTGGAAAAAAGAAGAATTCAGGAACTGTGATCAAACCCCTTTCTGCAAAAGAGCTAGATCACGAAAACCCCAACACTGTAAACTCACTGCCACCGATGTAGTAGTAGACAACGGAGATCTAACTGCAAAACTCATAACCCCGAACAACTTTCAACAAAACCTTGATGAAGATTCATCAGAAATCGCATCAAAACCCCTAATCCTTTCTTTATCTGTTTATCAGAATGGAATTTTGCGGTTGAAGATTGACGAAGACCCATCTCAAAATCCACCAAAAAAACGTTTTGAAGTGCCTGATGTTGTTCTCCCTGAGTTCGAAAGCAAAAAACTTTGGTTACAGCGGCATACTAAAGAGGTAATTAATGGGGATTCTGCTGAATCGTTCGTTGTTTATTTGTTTGATGGATATGAAGCTGTTATTAGAAGCGATCCATTTGAGGTTTTTGTTAGGGAACAAGGTAGTGGTAACCGTGTATTGTCCTTCAACACTCACGGATTGTTTGATTTTGAGCAATTAAGGGTTAAAAAAGAAGGGGACAATTGGGAAGAAAGGTTTAGAAGTCACACCGATTCTCGCCCATATGGCCCACAATCCATCAGCTTCGATATGTCATTCTATGGTGCTGACTTCGTTTATGGTATCCCTGAACACGCCACTACCCTTTCTCTAAAACCCACAAATGGACCTGGTGTTGAACAATCTGAACCTTACAGATTATTCAATCTAGATGTTTTCGAGTATATAACCGATTCACCATTCGGTCTCTATGGTTCAATACCCTTTATGCTTTCACACGGGAAATCACACGGGACTTCAGGGTTCTTCTGGTTAAACGCAGCTGAAATGCAAATTGACGTTCTTGCCCCTGGTTGGGATGCAGAATCCTCCATTTCCTTACCCTCCGACCAGAAAAGAATCGACACATTATGGATGTCAGAAGCCGGAATCATCGATTCCTTCTTTTTCATTGGACCAAAACCGAAAGATGTAGCCAAACAATACGCAAGTGTAACAGGAACATCAGCAATGCCTCAGTTATTTGCAACAGGATATCATCAATGCAGATGGAATTACAGAGATGAAGAAGATGTCAAGAATGTAGATTCAAAATTCGATGAACATGATATCCCATATGATGTTTTATGGCTTGACATTGAGCATACGAATGGGAAACGATACTTCACATGGGACAGAGTTCTTTTTCCAAACCCTGAAGAAATGCAAAAAGATTTGGCTTCAAGAGGTAGGAAAATGGTGACGATTGTGGACCCACATATAAAGAGAGATGAAGGGTATCATATACATAAAGAGGCTTCTAAGAATGGATATTATGTGAAGGATGCAACAGGTAAAGATTATGATGGGTGGTGTTGGCCAGGTTCCTCTTCTTATATAGACATGGTGAATCCAGAGATAAGATCATGGTGGGCTGATAAGTTTGCATATACAGAGTATAGTGGTTCAACTCCTTCATTGTATATTTGGAATGATATGAATGAGCCTTCTGTGTTTAATGGACCTGAGGTATGTATGTCACTTTAGTACCCTTTAAATGTTACATTTTGTTTATTGATTTTGATAGTTATACACAAGATTCATTTAGGGGTCAAAAGGGTGTTTGTGTTTGGAATTTGGATAATCTTTTTTTGTTGTAACATTGACTTTTGATTTTGACCAGGTGACAATGCCTCGAGATGCTTTACATTATGGGAATATTGAGCACAGAGAGTTGCATAATGCATATGGTTACTATTTCCATATGGCTACATCTGATGGACTTTTGAAACGTGAAGGAGGAAAAGATAGACCTTTTGTTTTATCAAGAGCATTTTTTCCTGGGACCCAGAGATATGGGACTGTTTGGACAGGGGATAACACTGCAGAATGGGAACAGCTTCGGGTTTCTGTTCCAATGATTTTGACACTTGGCATTACAGGGATAACATTCTCAGGTTTCCACATTTTTTGTCATACACATGCTTTTACTTTTACTTTCATTGATTTGTTTTCTTATTACTAAATTGTGAGTAGGATATGCTATATATGATATACAAATAAGTGAAAGTAGGCTGCTGTTTCTTTCATTTAGACCTTTTTTGTTTTCCGATTTTTTCATGGTTGGTGTTTTCTTGTATTTATAGGTGCTGATGTTGGAGGGTTTTTTGGTAATCCTGACACCGAGTTACTTGTTCGTTGGTATCAAGTGGCAGCTTATTTGCCCTTTTTTAGAGGACATGCACATCATGATACAAAAAGAAGAGAACCTTGGTTATTCGGGTAAGAATATTATGTATCAAAGAGGGTATTTTCGTCATTTGAACCAGTACCAGGAATGGAAAAAAGCAAACCTAGGAGGTGTTTGGTGTTTGTTTTTCCAGATTCCTTAGGAATTTGCTGAAACTGGAATTCAATTCCATTCTGTTTTATTCGATTCAAATAATCAAATCCGCTCTAACATTGTAATACTTGGTTTCTTGTTTTTATTATTAAGTTTTGTAACTTGTATTACAAATATTTTGCTGATAATAGGGATCGGAATACCGAATTGATGAGGGAGGCTATACGTGTAAGATACACATTGCTCCCGTATTTCTACACTCTTTTTAGAGAAGCAAACGTGAGTGGGGTCCCTGTTGTTCGTCCTCTTTGGATGGAATTTCCCAATGATGAAGCCACTTTCAATAATGATGAGGCGTTCATGGTCGGAAACGCCCTTCTAGTTCAAGGAATTTACACCGAGGTACTTTTCTTTCATTTCTAAATCCAATAAATTAACATTCCACTTTCACTGATTTGTTTACAATTGCATCTGTTGTTGCAGAATGCAAAAGATGCAAGTGTTTATCTACCAGGGGATGAAACTTGGTATGATCTTAGAAGTGGAACTGCATATAAAGGAGGAAAGACTCAAAAGGTGGAAGCATCGGGTGCGATTCCGGTGTTTCAAAGGTCCGGAACCATAATTCCAAGGAAAGACCGATTCCGTAGAAGCACAGTACAAATGGAGAATGATCCTTACACTCTGGTATGTAACTCTGTATATATATACATATATGATTGATTCTCAAATGTTATAATAAAGAAATTGATACAAGTAGTTGCTATTTTAGGTGATTGCTCTTGATAGTTCAGGAGAGGCTGAAGGTGAGCTTTACATTGATGATGGAAAGAGCTACGACTTCAAAAACGGTGCATACATTCATCGCCGTTTTCTATTCTCCAATGGGAAACTTACATCTGTAAACTTAGCCACGTCAGCATCAGTGGGGCCCACGTTCTTGTCTGATTGCACCATTGAAAGGATCATATTGCTTGGGCAGACATCCAAACCGAAAAGTGCGCGTATTGAGCCGGCTAACCGTGTGACAGAGGTCGAACTTGGTCCGATACAGACTCGAACCGGGGTTCGACCATCGGTTCTGACCATCCGTAAACCTAATGTGAAAGTTTCGGAGGATTGGAGTATACAGCTTTTGTAGGTTTTGAGGAAATATTTGTGGGTGGGTTCCCGGAGGAATGTAGTGGTAGAGGGGTTGCCGGGAAACACCCATTGCCGCCTTGAAATTTGTAGTGACTGAGAAAGGGCTCATTTACTGATTGAACATGAGGATCGTTAAAAAATTGAGGATTTTGTAATAGCTTAAAAAAAGGTTTGATGGTCATTTTGTGTTTCCTTTTGGTTCTTTTGATGAATGTGTTTGTATTTTTTTTTGGAACAAAAATCATCCCTGTGGTTTGGTAAAATTGCGTTTTTGGTCCCTAACTTTTATTTTGCACCCGGATAGTCCTTATAGTTTTGTTTTATTTGTGTTTTTCGTCCCTGACGTAAAATATAGATCTGCGTAACTGTCTCTAGACTGTTTATATGATTGCCTGTTATATGTGCACAAATTGGTTGGTGGTTGAGGATTTATTGCTTTGTGCGTAAGCCAATAGGCCGGGGGAATACAAACCTATTGGTTAATTGGGACCGAGGGTATTCCATCATGAGGATGGCATGACCCGTTGTAGATTGGCATTCCAACCCAATGGTTGAGTGGGCCTGGGGTATTCCAATCCGATGATTGACCAGACCCATAGTATATTGGCATTCCAACCCGATGGTTGATTGGGCTTGGGGTATTCCAACCCGAAGGTTGTTTAGACTCGACATGCTATTATTGTATATATATGTTATCTGTTTATGTGTTGGTACCTTGGGGTAACTCACTAAACGTTGGTTTATAGTTTTGGGTTATGTTTCAGGTACTTCAAATGGCCGAGGGAAGGCGAAGGCATGAGCGTACACATCCTCTTGTTTATGACTTATGATTAGGAGACTCTGATGTTTGAAAATGTTTTAAAAACTATGATTGTAAACAATTTATGAATTTAGGTTGTTTTTTAAAAAAATAAAATTTCTTGTGATTTTTATGGGTGTCACAACTAGCAAATTAGGGATAATATTTTTATCCGTGTGCAAGACAATTTCCTCCGTGTAACCTTGCAACATCCTATTTAGTGAAATTTAAAGTACAATGCTATTTAAGTCCATACGTGCATACATTGTGATTCAGGTCGAAACAACCTCGTATAAGCCCAAAAACTCGATCCAATAGCTAAGTTCAATCAATTTTGGGCCTTAGCCCAAAAAATTCTCGACCTAAAACCCCTGTTGGACCAAGATTTCTTCATTAGGTCTAGTGGGTCGATAACTTCTTCATTTGGTCTTATTGGTCCGAAAACCTTTCTTAGGGCCCTAATGGGCCGAAAACTTCTATTGAACTTTACATTGGGCCGAGAGCTTTTCCGTTGGGCCGAAAACCTATTCTTAGGTTTTAATGGACCAAAAACTTCTATTGGGCCAAAAATTCCTATTGGGCCAATCCAAATATCGAAGGCCACTATTTTTTTGGACCACCCTTTGGGCCAAAAACCCTATGGGTCGGTGATGGATTAATAAAAAAAACGGAAAAGATAAGGGAAATTGCTTTGCCACCTCTTTATAGTTCATCATACATCAAAGATTTTATCTCCCATACAACCATGCAAGTATCCCATCAAGATTGAGGAAAGTCGACTTCTCTTCCCCCGTCCTTCTCTTATTAATCCGAACACACACATACACATACACTTCACAACCTCATTTTCCCTCACATTTCTCTCAAGAACATCCTCCATTATTCTCTAAAAAATGTTGAGTTCATCATCATCAAAAATCGGATTCTAGGCTTCTTGGTAAGTTCTATGTTAAACTCAAGTGTTTTGTTTCATGTTTATGCTAAGAACATTCCATCTACACACTTTTGTTGTGTGTTATATGTAACATCCGGATTTTACCAGGTATCTTGTAAGTTTAAATTTTGTTGTTATGTGAGAGGGACTCGGCGAGTTGGAGCTCAGACTCGCCGAGTAGGGACGCGGAATTGATCGCTGGTGCGCGCTTGGACTCGGCGAGTCCATGGTATGGACTCGGCGAGTCTGCGCTGTGTAATGAAACCCTAAATCTCTGGGTTTGAGGCCTATTTAAAGGGCCTTATGGCCGACTTTTGTGCTCACCCAACCCCCAGAGAGAAACCCTAAAGAGATCTAGAGCGTTTGTGAGGAAGGAGAGGCCAATCTTGAACTTTTGTGGGTGTTGTTGCAAGAAGGAAGTGTTCAAGGCAAGAGGAGGCTGAAGGAGGTGCGATTTTTGTGGTCTTTGAGCTCATAGAGGCTGTATTGAGGTATTATTCTCGGACCTTCTTCACTTTTTGGTGTTTATTCTTAGTGTTAGGGTTTTCTAACCCTTTTTAGAGGTTTATTAAGTGGAGTAGTTGGTCCCTTCTCGAGTTGTGTCTTGGATCTGGACCCAAAGAGGTCCAGAGACCTTAACCCATGGAGCTTTATGAGTCATTTTGGGAGTCTTGAGCTTGGAATGTCATTTTTGGGGCTAAAGCACCATTTTGGACCTTTTAGATGTTATATGTGTGTCAAGGTCCCAACTTTACGTGATTATCATGCTTGGGGAGGCCAGATCTATGATTGTATGGAACAGATCTGACCTCAGAAGTTGTTTTGAGTTCGTGCATGGCATGGACTCGCCGAGTCCGAAGAACGGACTCGGCGAGTAGTATGAAGGTGGCCCGTTAATCACTCAGTGAGTGGACTTGCCGAGTTGGGGGAAATGACTCGGTGAGTCAGGGAGAGTCAGGGGTCTAAGTTCAAGTTGGAACTCGCCGAGTTATTCTGAGACTCAGCGAGTTGAGTCGGGGTGGCCCCACGATTCATGCTAGGTGGAACTCGTCGGATCAAGGGGAGTACTCGACGTGCCAAGAGAGGATCTAAGAGAGTCAGTGGACACGTGTAGACTCGCCGAGTCGCCCTAGTGCACTCGACGAGTCGGGTCAAAGTTTGACCGTTGACCTTGTTGACTTTTAGGGTTGAGTACAGTTGTATTTATGAGAGTTTTATGTGATTAGGCGGAGGCTAGATCACACTTCTTCCGAGTCAGATATTTACCGAGACATCGAGGTGAGTCTCCTCTCTATACTTTACCTTGAGTAGGTAACCAGAGTTATGTGATTGAGTAATTGTATGCTATGTATGTTATGTGTTGTACTGCATGATTTCTATGTGATTTATGTAGTGCATGTTATTCAGAGCTAGAACCTGAGGGTTCACGGAGTTTGGGTGCACGGACCCACAGAGTTATAGCCTCGAGTGGCTAATATGTGTTATATGTGGTATTTTGGGGAACTCACTAAGCTTTGTGCTTACAGTGTTGATGTTATTTGTTTCAGGTGCTAGTGACGACCGCGGGAAGGCGCCGGCTTGATCCGTACACACACGATTAGAGTTTTTACATGTCGATCTTGGGATTTTGTACTGTTATGTTGAACTATTAAAATGGTTGTTTTTATGAGGAACAAGTAAAATGGTTGTTTTTATGAATATTAACGAAATTATGTTTTTTAAAAAAAAAAAAAAAAAAAAAAAATTTTTTGGCTTTAAATTTCCGGTGTTACATTATACTCTTAGAAACACCAACATTTCGAGAATCTCACCAAGAACACAAGCTAGGCTCGAAATTTTCTTCTTCTTCTTCTTCTTCTTCTTTTTCTTCTTCTACCATTCGAAAACTCCAAAGGTGAGCTTCATACCTCACTCCTTTTCGTGTTTTTCATACTCTTTTTTTTTTTTTTTTTTGGGGGGGGGGTGGGGGATACAAGTCAAAATCTCGTTTATCCATTGGATAATTGCATGGACCAATGTGTAATGTGTTTAACCTTTGGGTATTTGCATGAACATGAAGTTTATCTTATGCATCATCATTAAAATCATGAGATATGTGTTTGTCAAAATTTGTGTTGTGTGAAATCTCGTGGATATGGGTTGTACATTCAAAAATGACAAGAAGATAGGTTTATACTCAAATTTGTTAACATTTGGGACATATACCTTTTAATACATATACTACACAAATATTTAATGTAACAAGTTACAAGATTTTATGTGTATCTTGTAAAAATTGTGACACGCTAATGTCATGACAAAATGGTATATTTGTGTTACAAAACCCCTAAACTAAACATCGGTTTGTTAAACAAAGTACACACTTGATTATTTTACTAAAACTATATTTTTTTATTAGTAAAATAGTCGTAATATGTTGTCATCATTTTAATGCTTTAAAAACTTGAAAGATTATAATATTTGTACAACATATATTACAAGTAGATAAGTCCATTAATGATTATTTATAAAAGGTGTTATATATAATTTAACTAAAATGGTGTACAAAATAGAAATAATACGACAGAAAAATGTGTGTGTCATAATCTCATAAAGCTATTAAAATAACAAGTTATAAGTTGTATGTCTTAAAGCTGTAAAACGTGTGTCCTAAAACTGCAGTCATAAATTTACACTAGTAGTGTTATTTTCATTATTCAATAATGGGTGTCAAATTTCGCGTGAATCCATTAAGGCACTTGTGAGACTTTCTTTCACCGTACCTACGTAGCGTACACTGTAAGACATGTAGTTATAACGAGAGTCTCCCAGAGGGAGAGCGAGATAATTGTGTATAGATCTATACGAGGTTGACACCCCTACACTTGAGCTGTTCGCTACAGCTAGACGGGGCCTGTCTAGGGTGAAAAATATCTTACCTAAATCGACGCCTGAAGAACGTCATGATAGACATATCAATTACATCAAGCATGGTTGTAATGACTTACAAAGGAACTAACAACATTATTTTGGATTTACATAAAAATATACACTTCACTAGTTTTATTTAATATAAAACTACACTTCATTTTCTAGTACTTATTTTTATCACCACTCCAGTCTTAGGGTTTTAAGACTGCAAGTTTTCATACAATAGAAAATATTGGATTTTATGGGAATGGATTTTTCACAATTACAAACAACAGAAAAACAAAATACATGCGTTCAATTATTCACAGTTTTAGAACGAGATTCACGAACCAATTTTCACATAAAATATCGGATTTTCTGAAGTTTTTACAAATTATTACAAACAAAGATGTTACAAAGCTATTTCATACAAACATGCTTATGAACTTAACAACTTTTTAGTTGATGCTTTTCAAAACGATTTGTATTCTCAGGGACTCGGTGAGCAGGTACATGGATTATGGGTGTTGGATATTTTGATGCAGTTTAAATTTTACAATTTGTCACTTTTGTGTAAAATTTGTGAACAAATACAATTTGTAACAATGTATTTTGGTATCTTTTAATGTATTAGGTTTAGTTGCTACGTTTCATTCATATCTAGGATAAATATAGCCTGATAAACTATATTTATTCGAGATACGACCAACATGTGTTTAATAGTGGTTGAGGTGGGAAACAAAAACTAAAATCTTACCAACATTATATCAAAAGGGTCTAAGAACAAATATAAAAAGAAATAAAATACTATAGGAGTATTTTGGCATTCTATCTATTTTCTCACACTTATACATTCTCGTATAGACATCATGGCAGGCTTCCACCAGCCTGGAGACCCTTTACCCGCAAACCACGGAAATAGGGGATGGCTTGAGGAAGAACCGAAGGAGGATCCGGAAGAGATAGATGAGGATTTTAAGGAGGAGGATATCAAATAGGACATCGATGAGGATGAGAAGGGAGATGAGGGTGACTCGGACACAAAGTCTGAAGTCATTAACCCACCTTACATGGCGAGGGTGCCGACGCACCGAATGAGCTATAATGGCCCTACACCCCCTTAGGCACTTGATATTGATAGGTGTAGCCAACACCAGGGACAACGCCCACCATTTGT